TAAACTTCAAGAGTGTACTTACCTGAAAACCCATGCAAGCCATAAACCTAAGGTCTTTGTGTGATTTGTTTGTGCTTGCTATATTTGTGTTTTCTTAGCATAATCATGATATCATAACATCATAACATGGCATACTAACCATTTCAAGGATTTTTAGGACTTATCTTTTGTGTTGTTTTGTAGGACACGACATCCACTCGCAGGAATACTATCCAAGTCAACCTCATAAGGGTACCTCCTTAACTCAAGTAATTAGCATCAAGGGTTCTTGAGAGCTCTCCATTCACTAAAATACATGGTCGACTTCTCAATCTGGTCACCTCAAGCCCTAATGAAGAAATGTTGAAGGTGCTCTTTCAGTTCTTCGACCCTTTACATCACTGCTTCACCTTTCCTGATTACCAATTAACGCCTACCATGGAGGAGTTTTCTCAGTTATTAGGGGTGCCCATTCTTGATCAGTTACCCTTCAATGGTATGGAAAGAGACCCAAAACCTAAAGAGATTGCTCATGCTATGTCTTTACAACAGTCCGATGTAGTGGCAAATTGGGAAACAAGAAGAGGCGTCAAAAGGCTTCTAGCTAAGTTTCTATTTGAGAAGGCTCACCAATTTTGGGATACCCTTGATTTAAAAGCTTTTAAAGAAGTTTCGGCCCTTCTCATATATGGGATGGTACTATTTCCTAATCCGGACCAACTCATAGATGTGAATGCGGTCATGGTTTTTCTGTCTCACAATCTGGTGCCTACTTTACTTGGAGACATTCTACACTCTCTGCATACCTGCACTGTAAAGAGAAGAGGGACCCTGCTGTGTTAGACTCCTCTGTTGGCTAGGTGGTTTATTTTGCAACTGCCTCGATCCATGTTGAAGAATGAGATGGGCATGAGATGGTCTAATAGGTTGATGTCCCTCACACATTCTGACATTCATTGGTGTCCTTGATCCTTGGAGAATGTTACCATTATTGACCGCTGTGGAGAATGTAAAATCAAGCTTCTCAAATGAGATTTTGTTTTGATGAAGACAAACCATGATTGACAAAGAAGACAAAGATTTATGATCAAGCTCAAAGAATCTAAGGACAAAATCTTAAGTTCAAAGCTCTTAACAACTTTCAAGGTATAATAATATTACTTACTTTGATCTTAAGATATAGATGCTCATTGATGAAAAAGAAATGTTTAAAAAATTATTACTCAAGTTTTTCAAAGTTAAAATTTCATTTTTCACTTGAGTGCAATCGATTTGCATTTTAGTGCAATCGATTGCATGCTCCAATTTTTCAAATCTTTTGCTTCTGTTTCTCTGTGCAATCGATTTACATTGCTTGTGCAATCGATTGCATACTTAAAAATTTCAAAATATTTGCTTCTGTTTCTCATGCAATCGATTTACATTGCTTGTGTAATCGATTGCACTCACTTACTTTTTGTTACTGACTTTACATGCAATCGATTTACATCGCTAGTGCAATCGATTGCACACTTAAAACTTTTGAAAAAATAGCTGTTGAAACCTTGTGCAATCGATTTACACAAAGGGTGCAATCGATTGCATGCTGCACGATTTTGAAAAACAACAACTTTTCACATGCCTGTTCATCATACCTTTTCATTGAAACCTTTCAATCAAACTTGGCATTTGTTCATGATACATTTTCAGAACTCCATGATGTTTCAAAAGGGTGTTATGAACATATAAATATTCATTTCAAAATCTGTTTCAACACCTCTTCCATAAATATTTTCTGAATTTTCAAAATACAAACTCAAGCATTCCTTCACTTTGATGCATAAGTTTTCTGCACATTTTCATACTTTGTCAAACAGAAAACTTTGAGCAATTATATCTTGAGTCATTGTACAATAATATTATTGGAAGAGAAGATCATACATTGTTAAATCACTCTAAGTGATCAATACTACTCAACTTACTCAAACTCAAATATTGGTAGTTACTTACTTATTTTTCCAGGATTGTTGAAAATAAATTTAATGTGTAGTTTAGCATCAAATGTTATAAATAAAAAAATAATCAATCATATTTGTTAAAAGCTAATTTGATCATAATTAAAATTTCGATAAACAATATTCGAACATCGTGCGGGTTTTAATCAAGTGATAATTTATGAAGAGAAAATATGGTGACATTGTTCCTACCTTGATATTAGAAATATCATCTTTTACTAATTTCCACAATTTATCGATATATAACACATGTATTTAACATTTTATTATTAATAATACAAATTAAGCAAGAAAATTGGATTGGTCGCTGAAAGGGAGAGTTATAAAGAGATAAAAAAATTAATACCTAGTTTCTGTTGGGGTAAAAAGTATTTTAATCATATCGGGTAGTACAAAGAAAATAGAATTTAAATATTAATATAATTGAGATAGTTAGTTTGAATTTTTTACACAACAATAAAATATAATTTTTTGATGTAATGGGATTTAGGATACTTGAGTGTTTAAAGAAGATTTTCTATTTTTCCGTTCAAAAATAGTTTGTTGACTGAGTTATATATTTTTTTATTTAAAAATAGTTAATTAAGAGGATTTGCAATTCTTCCGTCTAAAAATTACAGTTAAAAGAAAATTTATAATTTTTCTGTTAAAAAATTGCACTTGAGAGATGATTTAAATTTTTCTCCTTAAAATTGTATTAGGAGGATTTGTAATTTTCCTTTAAAAATTATAATTACATGAGAGAGTTTTTAATTTTATCATTATAAAATTAGAAGTTTAATTAGAATTTTTGAATTTTATTTTTGATTTTTTTGTTTTTTTTCTTTTGTGTGTGTATGTTTCTGCGTACATAGAAATTTGTTTTTTTTTTTTAAATTTTCCCAACACGTCCAACATAATATTAACAACACTAACACTAGTCTTTTTTTAAATAGAAAAACCATAAAATTTGTGATACTTTTACTAAATATATTTCACTTAATTATTATTTTAAGTATACTAATATATTAGACCAGCACTAATCAAAAATACTAATCTAAAAATTAGAATGTCATTTATAAATATTCAACTCTGTACTTCAATAACATACTTAATTAAGTCTTTGCCATGCCTTTTACTATAGTAAGGATTTGATATAAGAGCGTTATGTAACTATTATATCAAAAGAGTGATATAGTAAAACACATGAATCGTGTTACATGCACAAGGAAAGTAACAAAACATTCTTGTAGTACTATGTTTTGCTATTTAGACATCTTTCCCATATCCTTTGAAAATACCAATCCCTGATTTATCAAATTATTGTCATTTAAGCCATCAAAGAAATTTTGTAGCCAAATTTATCATGGTGTTGTGACTTAGTCATTCTCTCCATAACTACTATAGATGAATATTTAGCTCCCCTCAGCTCCCCAGTGCAAATTTAAACTTAAAAACAACTTTAAAGAGGCGCATGTATAAACATAAAGATTATATGACAAACAATACAAGTACAAACAAGAAGCCATATAAGATCCAAACACAAGCTTATCACAATCACAATCACAACTTTTTGGCCATATTGTGGGTGACATAGCATAACCATAGAGTAGAGTGTGCCCCAAGAAATAAAGTGATAGAAAGCAAGTAGAAGAATCAACAGTAACTCCTCACCTAAAATATGTATGTAAAGTGGGGTTATGGTCGTTGGATTGCCAACTCTTTATTTACATTGTACTATTATTATTTTAGATAGTGTCCTACCTTGTCACCATTCCATACTTTGAAAAAAGTCCCTAACAAATAAGGCAACCCCACACAACATGCATCAAAATAAATTGCACAAACCTATTCTTAACTCCAACTTCTTTAATCATCATCTATTCACATGTGTATCATTTGTAGGTTAACCACGTTGTACTATGACAAACCAAAGAGGAGTCCAACTTTAAACGTATTTCATAAGATATTATTTAGATGCTGTGTAAATGTGTCAAATTTTAAATTATATGTGATAATTCGTCTTGTATGCTCTTAAAGACGATTCTGTGTTGGGTACAAATCCGAGTAGTTAAAATCTCACATCATCTCTGAATAGATGAAATGTTAAATTTATAAAAGAGATGACTCATTTATCTAATACCTCAAGATTTTGAATAAAGATGTGACATCTTTCTCTTGTGGTCTTGAAGCATTGGTTCCGTTAATACTCTAACCTTTTTTGAAATCCTTTATAGCGGTATCAGAGACATGGTTCGACTTGATGGAAGAGCGGGAGTTAGATTTTGTGTTGAGTTCGTGTAATAGGATGTGAGAGTCTCACGTGAACTTTTCCTTTTCAAGAAAGGTCAAGTTAGACAATGGAGTCAAGTAATTTTGATGTTTTAACACTTTATACACACGAGGGCATGAGGAAGAAATATGATCAAACAAGATCAAAATGGAGAAACGCAAACCTTTTTTCACTTTACCATTGATGAAGCAAAAACATTGCAACAAAGGTGAAAAAAGGGTGCATGGCCAAAATCAACAAACGACAAAAAGAGGGCCACTTACACATTAAATAGATAGAGAACATGAGACACGTCACATGCATTTCATGTCATTTTCATTGTTCAAAAGGGTCACATCCTATTTTTTTCACCAAATGGTTTCTACACTTCCACCCATCACTATAAGGTCCATTAGTCCAACATCATCTGAAATATCCATTGCCCATTTATTTTCATGCACATGCTAAAGATTTTTACCTAACTATTATGCAACCACAACTTCATCATCAAAGGTCAACAAGACTAAATGTAAAGTTCGGTATAAGTTGAATTGTAGAGAAACCTATCTTAACTTCACACATTGATTTCCTAATGGATTGATCAAGTATTGTTTATAATTGTAGCTAGCACAATGAGAAGATAACATATAGTTACAGTATTTGCTTATGAATAGTCCTAGCATGAAGAACAGAAAAACAAAAACAAAAGGCTATAGAAATAATATAATTTAGGTAACACTTCCCATAATTGGCCAAGTGTTTGAAAATGCAGACTATTAGTAGTCTAGAGATCCGACGGTTGTTATTCCACTGCTTAGATTTCTTGGATCTTGACAGCTCACATAGTCATCGCAGATGCTATTTGAAAGCCTTTGAATGGGAACCGAGTTTAAAAGCCCGAGGCCAGTGTTGCCCATTTGCTGCACTTCCTCGGGCGAAAGTATCTTGATGCACCATACACTATTCACAAATTCCCTGCCATAAAGAGAGGTCACGTGTAAGACATCGGGTTTATCTAGTTTTCAATGTAGCATTTAAAAGGAATGTGGAGAATGTAGAATTTGGGATACTTACGGCCAAGGGCCATCACCGAGGAGAAGAACATCATTCTCTCGGTCAACGAATACAAGCTGCCAGCCTGATCTCACAGGGTCCTCCAACTCGCCTTCTAGTCCAAACATTCGAGCGAGCTCACTGCGCAGCTCATGGTAGCTGCTGAACTTAGTGATATCCAAAGATCTTCCGAAGGACCCTGCTTTATAAACCTGTAACCAGAAATGCACTGAATAAAAATGCAAGAAGTGATGAATAACAATAAAATTTTGATTTTAGAGACGGTAATAATCTCGCTGATAAAAATCACACCTTCACAAAGGTCTTGTTCAGAGGGTTGTTTCCTTGCTCCCCATTTTCAAGGTTTTGCAAGAAACCAGATTCGCCAATACTAGGCGTTACTCCATGATTCAATGAAGAATTGGTGCCTGCGGAGTTCATGTAATTAGAAGATTGATGATAGGGCATGGTTGAGGAGTCACTGTTGTTTCCATTAATCCCCTTAAAGTTTGACATCCTATTATGCATTAGAAGAGACGAGGGATCGATATTGACACCAAATAAAAGATTACTTTGCAGATCATTGTTCCCTTCTTGGTCTATTGAGCACTCCCTACCAGGAAATGGCGGCAACGTAATAGCATTTTGAGATATGGTATTCTGTGTCTGCCCTACCTGTTCCACATGGGGGAGAATACATTGAGAAGCTCCCGAAGAAAGGAGTGGATCCACCGCAACACGCTTTGAGGGCCAACCGGTTGAATTTTGAACAGGAACCCAAGAGTTTGTTCTAGGAAGACTTAGAAGATGGGATGTTTCATCCTGCGGAAATGAACCCATGATACTGTGCAAAGGAGAAACAACAGTAGTTGAAGAGTTTACATTTGAATCAGAAAAACTCTGCTGATGACATAGTGAAGGGAGAGCTTGCATAGGTGGTGGTGACTGCGGTTGAGGCGCTGAAATAAACTGTGACATTGTAGAGATCGAACCAGATATCTGCTGATTATCCATCACTTGCTGTTGAGTTTGTTGCTGTTGTTGCTGCTGCTGGGTATGATGATGGAGGTGATTATTGAATGAGTGTTGGTGCTGCGGATGGTGTTGAGTATGAGTCTGAGTTTGTTGCTGAGATTGCGACAGATTCTGATTGTCCTGATTATTTTGAAAAGCCTGTTGAGATTGTGCTTGTTGCAACATATGCGCCTGCATTAAAGCAGCAGTCCTGTTCGGGAAGTTTGATGGTTGCTGAAATTGAAGTAAGGAACCAGGATGCTGTTTGGAGGGATCGATACTCCTCATGTCTTGAAGTGCAGCAGCAGCCACAGCTTGATACACATCCGGTTGCATATTCAGCATGGAAGTATCAAATCTCGGCTGCATCCAAGGGTTAACCCCAATCCCTTGAAAATTAAGTGACTGAAGTCCTCTATCACTGTCTCGAAGCCACAGCAAAGGAGAATTCATGCCAAAATCGTCATCTTTCATGCCTGCCAGCATTCCAAATGAACAAAATTGAGCCTTCGACGCATAAATGAAATAGCCTTTGAAATGTAATTGGCTTAGAAATTTGAAACTAAATTAGGTGCTTGAAAAAATAAATAGATTTGTGAATATTCAGTTCAGTCCTCAAGGTTGACATGAAGCTAACCATGGAATGAAGGCAAACCAGAAGGCCACGGTCGTTTAAGTCTAAGGGGAAATGGAGATGGATACATAGGAAATGTTGTTAATGGCTCAATTTCCCACAAAGACACTCTTGGTTGCCTTTCTCCGGCAGTGGATTCATCCCATCCAACCTGCAATCCAAGTCAAAGCTGTATCAGAAATCATACATTCAAGGCAACTGGAAAGTCAATATATCGAAATATCGGCAGTTTTTTCTTACAAACCTTTACTGAGCGCCAATGTGAGTTTGGCCACCGGGCAGAATCCAAGTCACTGATGCCAGTTATTGTACCCATGTATCTGCACACAAAAAATATATCGGTATTATATAATTATATTATAAAAAACGTATCACAAACTCTACAAAGTGACTGGTCACGGTTTCCCGAAATGAGAAGTTGAAAGACCTACCGTCGCACACTAGACTCTTCTGTTTCAAACAGCATCCTGAAACGCATACCAACTGAAACTCGAGTATGATACACAGCTTTAACATACTTTGCTAAGGGTATGACAAATTCTGACGGGCAAGCACTGAATTTATCAATAATAGAATAGTGTCAATCAAACAAAATCTATCATGACTTAGGACTTTAGCAAATGTATATTATATGTTTATTCGTACCGTGGGTTATAGAAAATAGTGAAACGACTATTGGTTGCAGCTGCATGAGCTGCTGCAGCGAGAAGTCCCAAGTGCATACTATCACTTGACAACACCGATGAAGGCATCACAGTTTGTGGTCGGCTAGCACGACGTATGCCAAGAAGCAATTGGTTCTGTTCGTTCCTGTTGAAGAAGATGCACTTGAGTTACACCATTGATAAGACATCACAATAATCAACAAATCTAATGTATCATTATAACATAAGAAAATGGAAAGTCACATGACAAAATCCAAGGTGAAGGAGTAAGCAAATTAATGGGGTCCAGAGCAGAGAAGATTCCACTTTGATAAGCAGGAAACAACAAAATCACTTGCCAGATAAACAGCACAGAATCACCAGCAACAAGTCTTTTAGCACTCACAAAAACACTCCACCCGGTTGTAAGTAGATGCCTTTTCGGCTGCCCTGCAAGGAGGAATAACTTCAAAGATTATAAAAAAAATTCCCACATTAGCGATTAAAACGAAACTCATCTTTGTAACTCACCCCGGAATATATGTCGGAATTTCCATTCATTGCCATGCAAATCCCTTGCTATTAACTCTTGTGCAGGGGGCTGTTGGGAAAAGTCCTGCAGGTCACAATTCTAGAGACTTGAGAAATTGATCAGTTAAGTAAATAAATTTATGTAGTACGACATTTTGATTAAAAAAAATGTTTACCAACGGAGGAAACACTTTCTCAGCCGCGCGGCGAGGCACGGAGAATCCACCGTGAGTGCTTGTGTCACTAGCAGTCAAGGTCTTGCAGAAGTAGTTTGTTGGCTGTTTACTCGGAGTGCCCAACTCAGCAGGAAGGTAAGCCTCTTTTTGCTCTTGCTGCAAACGCAAACGCAGACATAGTTAAACACTTGAAAATGTGTATAACTACATAATTTGCAAAACCAGATCACTCAAGTTTATGTTTCATACAGCATTCAGCGGTTGCAGGGTCATCTGTGCATACACTTCATCGGTCTCCACGTCAGCCTAGTTAAAAAAACAATTAGATAACAGAAAGAAAATAAGAAAAACGGATCGAAAGAAAACAAGTCATACATGCATAGTCAAATTATGAAGTTGGCAAACAAGCTGAGGAGGTAAGCTTGGATAATTTGGAATATGAGCATCCACTTCCTTGTTGGTTGACACAGCCACCTGTGCAGAAAAATGGCAAGTTAGGATTTATTCGTAGCATCAGCAATAATGAACATAGAGATGTTATAAAAAATGGTCTTCAACCGAGATTTAGGCCGTAGCGTCAGCGTTTTTTATGTCTCTTCAACCAGGATTTGGATAGTATAAGCCTCATTTGACCGTGATTCTCCGCAGTATTAAAGGTTGTGATGCGAATGCGACTCAAATTTATTAAAACCATGGTAGAAAAACATAAAAAGATAGACAATAGACTGCATAGGATACTCATGCTCAGAAACATGAGATTCCTAGTATTACTTTATTCTTAAAATTAGTTAAAAAATGCAAAAAAATACAATAATCTAACATCATAATATTTTTTACTCACTTGTTCACTGTGACCTTGTGGAAAGTACACAACTCTGCTTCCAATTGCTGGCAAAGAGACAAGAGGGCCAGCACATGCATGCCAAAGTTCTGAATCTAGAACTCTCTTTTCCCCTGCAAAAATCCACCCCAATGTCATGTATAAAAAAAACTCATAGCTTATGGGATACTCTTGCCAAATCCAAGATCTTAAAGGTACTTATTTCACAAATGAAACCAAATTACTTTTTTAATTCCTTAGTTAAATAACAAAAACTCAATGAAAAATTTGAAAATAATACATTATAATCCCTTAAAGATTGAAGTACCAATAGGATTGAATAGAGAAAAAGGAAGAAGAAATTGCAGGCAATTGTGAAGTACTGTGAGCATACCTTCTTGGGGTGGTGGAGGACTAAAACCAGCTGAAGAGAGTCTCATTTTGAGCAAAAAAGATATAAGAAAATTGTAAAATAATCAAAAACACTCTCTCTATGTAGACAAATTAAGTAACAAAGTAATCAGAAAATGACACTCCCACCACAAACAAACCCTTTTAGTCTCTTTCTTTCTTCTACAACAGAATATCATTCTTTGTTATATCTATCTAACCAAAAGATTCCCTACACTTGAAAATCCTCAACCAAAACCAGTTTCACAACAAAAAACAATCACTTTATGCCTCATTCGTTTCTCCTCTTCCTTATCCCCCAACACCCCATGTTCCAATTTTCAACTAAACACTTCATTACCTCAACCAACCAAATTCAGCAATAATCTGGAAGAAGAAAAAAACCAACAAGACCCAGAAGGTGAAAAAGGAAAAAGATGAAAACTTGAAAAGCAAACAGATCTTATGAAAACAAGAGGGAACGGATCTAACAAAACCCAGATAAGAAAACAGTGTGTTTAAGGATTAAGTTGTGTTTTTTAAGAGTGGTGGGTGAGTTTTCCAGTTATAGAAAAATGAGAAACAAACAATGGTTCTTTCCTTGTTATGGTGGTGATGTAGCTAGGTATAGTTGTATTGTTCTTCTTCTACTAGTAGTAGTAGTAATTGAAGTAGCAACTTGGTGACCATGCTATTGTTTGCTACTGTTGCTTTACCTTAGCCTATGATTCTCTCTCTCTCTCACTCAGTTTCATTCAATCAATCAGAACACAACCGTCATTATTTTTTGGGTGTCCTTTTATGTGAGAGAGAGAGAGAGAGTAGGAGAGAGAAGATTGTTTGATTGTTTGATTATTGTTGTTAGGTGGACACCACAAGAGCAAAGCATTTCATTTTCGGACAACCAAGGAGGGAAATTTACATCTGCCTAAGATTCACTGTTCCTTCTACTATGTTTTTTTCTCCTATCATTAAATTCTCTCTTTTACTGTCACTGTATATAGCTTCTGTCTACACCCAGTACCCTGCCATTTACCTCATTCAACATTTTTTTAATTCTTGCTTTTAGATTCATGTTAATGCTAGATGGAAGAAAAATATATTTCATATTCGAAATCTTAACACTGAAAAATATTAATCTAAATTATCTTTATTATTTAACCAAAATTCATTGTAAAACTTTACAATTTATTATTTAAAATAGAATAAATATATTAAATGCATTAGAAAAAGTTTAATATAATATGATTAAAATACAACTTTGCCCTCTAGGTGAAAATATTACAACTGATTTCGGGTTAAAACATTTAAAAATATTTCATCTCTTAACTTAAATCTGATAATCTTTAGTTTTGAATTATTATTTTCTTTTTATATTTGTTTCTTGTCAAGAAGTCTACATGGATAGTAAATAGTTGATTCAGTTCTAACCAAATCTGAATTTGTTATGTAATCAACTAAATCAATGCATTTTTTATCAATTCTTCAATAATAGGAGTAATAAATTGTTGATTCACTTTTAACCAAATCTATCGTGTCATCTTCAATTAACTCAATAAATGAACATTCCATCAATCTCTCACTCAAGTTGACTTATTCAGCCTTAAACCATCTTATAACATAACTCTATTAACTTGTTGTTGTTATTAGCTTTGTACTTTGTTCAAAATTTAGAGGTGTTCTTCTTTATTTATCATAAGACTAAAGTTTTTCCATTATCTAATTAAGATGAATTTTTAACTCTTCTGATTCAAGTAAAATTTTATCCACTAATAAAAAAATTTAAACGGGTTAAGCTTTTTCACTAGTTAAAAGAAAAAATAGACAAATTTTATTCTTATTTAGGTTTATATCATGCTTTCTTATCACCCTTAGTTAGATATGGATCCAAAAAATTATAAATTCCGAACTAAATTTTGCATTGTAAAAAATATATAATTATGATAATTGATAAGATAAAATAAAAAATATATTCACTTCTAATTAAGTATGTCATGTCATCTTCAATCAACTCAATCAATGCACATCTTTTGCTTGTTGCTATTTTTCGCTTTAGACATGGTTTGAAATTTAGAGGATTTTTCATTATTTATCATATAATTGAAAGTTTTTCCACTATCTGATTAAAATAAATTTTTAACTTTATGATTCAAGTTAAATTTTATCCATTGTTACGAAAAAAAATTAGAGTTAACCTTTTTTTCACTTAGTAAAAGAAAAAGTGGATAAACTTTATTCTCATTTAGGTTCATATTATGCTTTTTCATTCAACCTTGGTTAGACATAGATAAAAAAAATTAGAAAGTATGACGTAAATATTTTATTGGAAAATATATATATATAATTATGATACATTAGATAAAATAAAAATATATATTCACTTATAATTAAGTCTGTCATGTCATCTTTAATCAACTCAATAAATGCACATTCATTCAATCTCTCACTAAGGTCCATTATTCACTCCTAACCCATCCTACAACATCTATGCTCTTTAGATTACTCTTAATCAAACTCTTTTGACTTGATTGTTGTTTTACTCTATTGACTTGGTTGTTGTTTTCCGTTCTATACTTGATTTAAAATTTGGAGGTGTTCTTCATTATCTACCATACAACTGGAGTTTTTCACTATCTGATTAAGATAAATTTTTAATTCTTTTGATTAAAGTAAAATTTTATCCACGATAATAAATAAAAATTTATGTGGGTTACTAGATAAAAGAAAAAATAGAGAAATTTTATTTTCATTTAGGTTCATATCATGCTTTCTAACCACCTTTGTTAGACATGGATCCAAAAAAATTATAAAGTCTAAAGTAAATTTTCCATTGTAAAATATATATAATTATGATACATAGGATAAAATAAAATAAAAATATTCACTTCTAACTAAGTTTATCATATCATCTTCAATCAATACAACTTTCTTCGATCTATCACTCAAGCTGGTTTATTGACCTCCTAAATCATCCTAGAACATTTATCCTCTTTAGGTTACTCTTAACCAAACTCTTTTGACTTAGTTATTATTTTTCGATTTGTACTTGATTTAAAATTTGGAGGTGTTCTTTAATATTTATCATACAACTAAAGCTTTTCCGCTATGTGATTAAGGTAAATTTTTAACTCTTATGATAAATAAAGTTTTATCCACTGCTATAAAAAAAACTTCGCAAGTAAATTTTGCATTTGAAAATATTTATAATTATGATAATTTATAAGATAAAAATAAAAAATATATTCAGTTCTAACTTATGTCATCTTTAATCACCTCAATCAATACACTTTCTATCTATCTCTCACTCAAGCTGACTTATTCACCTCTAAACTATCCTATAACATCTATCATTAGATTAGTCTTAAACCAAACTCTTTTGACTTTTTGGACTTGTTCAAAATTTTGAGGTGTTTATCATTATTTACGATATAACTGAATCTTTTTCGTGATTAAGATAAATTTTTAACTTTTATGACTAAAGTTAAATTTTATCCACCATTAAAAAAAATTTACGCATTAAAGAAATTGTATTCTCGTTTAAGTTCATATCAGGCTTCATCACCCTTGGTTAGCCATGGAAACAAAAAAATTATAAAATCTAAATAAAATTTGCATTGAATATATATATATATATATATATATATATATATATATATATATATATATATATATATATATATATATATATATATATATATATATATATATATATATATATATATATATATATATATATATATATATATATATATATATATATATATATATATATATATATATATATATATATATATATATATATATATATATATATATATATATATATATATATATATATATATATATATATATATATATATATATATATATATATATATATATATATAATTGTGATAATTGATAAGATAAAATAAAAAATATATTCACTTTTAATTAAATCTATCATGTCATCTTAGTTCAACTCAATCAATACATCTTTCATCGATCTCTCACTTAAACTTGTTTATTAACCCTTTATCCTACAATAGATTACTCTTAACCAAACTCTTTTAATTTGGTTATTATTTTTTACTTTGGATTTGGTTCAAAATTTAGAAGTTTTTTTCTTTATTTAGCATATACAACTGGAGTTTTTCCACTATCTAATTAAGATAAATTTTTAACTCTTATAACTCAAGTTAAATTTTATCCATTGTTACAAAAAAAATTAACGAGTTCAACTTTTTTTATTTGATAAAAGAAAAAATAGAAAATTTTTATTTTCATATCGTGTTTTCTCATCTCCCTTAGTTAGACATGGATCCAAAAAAATTATAAAGTCAATATGTCAGGTTATGTTCAATCAACTCAATAATGCACATTCCATCAATCTCACTCAAATTGTTTTATTCACCCCTTAAACCATCCTGCAACATCTAACTTTTTTTAGATTACTCTTAATCAAACTCTTTTGATTTGTTGTTGTTTTTCACTTTGTATTTGGTTCAAAATTTAGAGACGTTATTCATTATTTACCATACAAGTGAAGCTTTTCCACTATCTGATTAAGATGAATTTTTAACTCTTACGATTCAATTAAAATTTTATCCACTGTAATAAATTAAAATTTACGTGGGTTAAGCCTAAAAGAAGAAAAAATTTATTTTCATTTAGTTTCCTATCATGCTTTTTCATAACCGTTACTTAGTCATTGATCCCAAAAAAATTATAAAGCCTGAAGTAAATTTTGCATTAGAAAATATATATAATTATGATAATTGATAAGATAAGATAAAAAATGTATTTACTTCTAACAAAGTCTGTCATGTCAACTTCAATCAATGCATTTTCACTAACCATTCTATAATATCTATTATCTTTAGATTAATCTCAACCAAACTCTTTTGACTTGGTTGTTATTTTTCGCTTTTACTTAGTTAAAAATTTTGAGGTGTTTTTCACTATTTACCATACAACTGAATCTTTTCTATTATTTTATTAAGATAAATTTTTAACTCTAATGACTCAAGTTAAATTTTTTGCGATGTTACAAAAATAAATTTTACGGGTT